CAAATAATCTTTCTGAAAAATGTTCAATCTGCTACCCGAGACAGAATTTGATTTTTCCTAAATCTTTCATATCAAATTCATCTTTCAAATAATTTGCAATTTTCTTGAACTCTTCAAGAATTCTAATTAAATTTAAATCATCAACATAATCTATTACAATTGCAAATCAAATATTTGTTTTCTTTATGAAAACAAATGGGCAGACATCGTCATTTTTATAACTGTTTTTCAACAAATATTTTCTAAGGCGATTATACAACACGCGTTCGTATTGTTTCAATCTATATAATGATCTTTGCAATTTAATTGATAACATGATTTTCGAGCACATATCATTTACTTTTGGCACTTTATATATATAAGTGAACTATACAAATAGACAGTTACTACATATATAAGGTGCATATCGAGCATTTGTGATACAGTCAAACTAATCAAAAATTTAAAAGTAATGGTGTCCATTAAGGGAAAATATGTTTCCTTGTAATTAATTTTTGGTCTCTATGAGAAACCTTAAACTTTATTATTATTTTCATTTCTATTTCATACAAAAATTCATTTGTATCCAATAGAGAATACATTTTCAGGTGTTTGAGCTATATGTCCAAACACTTTTCGTTTCTATAAGAAATTCAATTCCACCGTATGCTTTCTTTCCATTTTGGCCAATCATTTCTATGTTGACAGTCTTTAATAGACTTTGCTTCAAGATCTTCATTTTGCATAATATCAAGAACCACATTAAAGACGAAAATATTGTCTATAACAATATTATTTCGTTTTCATAATTTATGAGATAACATATAATTTATTGGGATCTCATTATTTTCAAACACTTGTAGTTCTTCAAGAACCATATTTTCAATATTTGATTAATTAATCTTTTCTAATGTTATTTCTTCCGAAGGTTTTTTTTTGTTGTATTTTATTTTTTTAGGTACTGAGTCTTTTGAACCAACTGATCGACCAGACTTATGACGTATTTGAGATTCATTTTATACATCAAATTGTCCTGTAGGGACAACAATTATTGCTGGAATATTTTTTGTTGTTATATACGATTTTGTCACTTTTCTTGTGTCTACAAATACATATAGTAATTGATTTGAAACTCTTTGCAAATGAATGATTTTTTTCAACATCTTGCTTACATTGATTGTTGTAGGAATCAAAATGAGATAGAGTTGTCTCATTCCAATAAATTTTACATTGTTTTTCAGGATATAGTTTTTCGCCTCTCGAAGTTAGGAAAGTCATTTCATCAAAACTATAATATACAAAACGAGCAGTAAATAAGTCACACGTTAAAGGTTCGAGATACCCAATAATAGATGGTGGATCAAAACTCATATAAATCACAAGTTTTCGTTGGGAACCTATTTTAATACATTATACGGGTGAAATAAGGATCTTTCGAGCTTGAAGATTGAGAATGAGCACAAACGTGATCTTTCGGTATCTGAAACAAAGGCGTCGAGGTATCCTCGTCGCCCCTTCGATGCTTAAGTCAGAGAGAGAAGATGAAAAAAGCTTGAATCCTCAAATTATATGAAAAACGTACCTGAATAATGATTATAGTTTCATATTTATAAAGATAGGTGGTGCAATCCTATCAAGACTTGGCATCTTTACTTTTAGGAATTCTAATTGTGATTAAGTGTTGGACCACAATACTCTTTTGAGTTTGGCCAAAGAAAATGCTCGAGGACACAATAATCATAAATACCTGAGGACGCATCCCAAGGACTTCGACACTATGTTATCGTAAGTCGTATATTTATAGTCCTCGAGATACTCGAGGACCATACCATGCCTAAGGACATTTGTCCCAGTTTAGTATGTCCCACTCCTCGAGACATTAAAGCTTGAGACGACATAGATGCCCATATCAGTATGCATTTCTACATTTGTCCCACTCTCCCAAATCATACTACCTAAAGGGAGATGGTGTGGTTGTCATGATGATATCAATGAGTATCGGATTCTAAATTTTAAGACGATTTTAATTAGAACTAAATCAAATTTGACCGTTAGGTTTAATTTTGTTTAAATTGGGTGATTCCCAGTAAAAATACTCGTCCTCATTTTTTATTTTTTTGAATGTGCAACCCTCCATTTAGAATAGCAAAATTAGCGGAGTTTTTTTCGAAACTAAAATTAAGAGGACTAATTTTCCCATTTCACAGATAATGTTCGAACAAAAATGCTTAATGTACAGTCAAAATTGCTGTACAATTTTGACAGTCCTCTCCCATGGGCGAGGCTCGCGATTATTTTAATCGTGGACCCACCAAATATATGTGAGAGGACTATCAAAATTAATGTAAAAAATAATGTAACTCTAGCATTGTTCATCTTCGAAAGCTTGGGTTGACTATCCCGAAGCCCTTCTCCTGTCCCATCCTCTCCCACTTGTATTGCTTTGTTTTGTTTACTCTGTTAATGGTAGCTTCCTTGTCATCAAACCATTATTTTACGCACTTCTCAACTCCCCCCTTCTCTCTCTCTCGTGACTTAAGCTTCCCAAAACTTTTTTTTTTTTTTGATATGAAAGCTTCCCAAAACTTCAAACATTGCCTTCCCAATCCAAAATCTGACACTGCCTAACCCCCACTCCTCAGATGGCCTCTCTGCAACCATTCAATTGTGCCACTCCAAAACCAAAATCAAAACCCAAGCCCATAACCCCTTCAGAAATTATTGCTGAATTCTCACACCATGATCCCGCAATCGCCCGCATAAACAACGGTAGCTTCGGTTGCTGCCCCTCCACCATTATTGCCGCCCAGCAAAACCACCAGCTCCACTTCCTCGAACAACCCGATAACTTCTATTTCAACATCTTAAAGCCCTCCATCCTCAAGACTCGCCAAATTATCAAGACCCTTATCAACGCTGACCATGTTGATGAAATCTCTATTGTCGATAACGCTACTACTGCCGCCGCCATCGTTCTTCAGCACACCACCTGGTCGTTTTTCACGACCCTTTTTCAACCGGGTGATGCGGCTATTATGCTCCACTATGCCTATGGCGCTGTCAAGAAATCGGTTCAAGCGTACATTACTCGCGCCGGTGGCCATGTTATCGAGGTTCACCTTCCTTTCCCTCTTAAATCGAATTCTGAAATAATAGAAGAGTTCCGAAAGGCCCTTCAGACGGGCAAAGCAAATGGTCGGAAAATTCGATTAGCTGTGATTGATCACATTACTTCGATGCCTAGCGTTATAATTCCCGTCAAAGAGTTGGTTCAGATGTGTAGAGATGAGGGCGTGGATAGGATTTTCGTAGACGCAGCCCACGCGATAGGGAATGTCAACATAGATGTGAAGGACATAGGTGCTGATTTTTACACCAGTAATTTGCATAAGTGGTTCTTTTGCCCACCCTCTGCGGCATTTTTGTATTGTAAGATGTCAGACGAGTTATCAGACTTGCACCATCCGGTGGTTTCACATGAATATGGGAATGGGTTGGCAATGGAGAGTGCATGGATTGGGACAAGGGATTACAGCCCACAGCTCGTGATGCCGGAGGTGATGGAGTTTGTGAGTAGGTTTGAGGGTGGGATTGAGGGGATAATGAGGAGGAATCACGAGAAGGTTGTGGAGATGGCGAAGATGTTGGTGGAGGCATGGGGGACAGAGTTGGGGACACCTCCTGATATGTGCTCAAGTATGGCGATGGTGGGACTGCCCCCTTGTTTGGGGATCAAGAGTGATGCAGATGCATTAAAGTTAAGAACACATTTGAGGACGTGTTTTGGGGTTGAGGTGCCGATTTACTATAGGGCGCCAGTTGAGGGGGAGATTGATCCAATAACGGGGTATGCAAGGATTTCTCATCAAGTGTACAATACTGTTAAGGATTACTACAGATTTCGGGATGCTGTAACCAAGCTAGTCAAGGATGGGTTTACTTGCAGTTTTCTTTCATTATGAGAAGGTTATGCTCAATTAATTCAAATTCTCTAAAAATCTTCCTTGTCCCGCTTTGCATTTCATATTGTTCTGCGGTGGATGTTTGAAGTTGTCCTGTTCATGCTTGATTAATTATAAACCTTCTTTTCTTAGTAAATTGATAAGTACCTTTAAAGCCTAGTTTTTCTTCTTTAGCAAGTGTTATTAGCATACAGTAAAAATTTATCCTTTGCTGTTCTTGTTTAGCTGATGGAAAAATTGATATTGTTCCACAATATGACAGATCAATATGGTTGCCTTTTTTTGTAAACATCATATAGCTCCTTGGCATCTCTGTCACAATTAAGGCAATAGAGCTCTTGAACTGTCAGTTATTTACTCTGGTCATACACAATGATGTTCCCCACCATCTAAATTATGTGCTCTCACTTTTGGGCTAGCACTAGGGTCTATTGACTGTCAGATTTTTGAAGTGTGGATGATATTTAAATCTTTTCATGTAATATATATTTCCATTAGATGGTTTAATCTATTGTATGTAAAACTTGTAATACTTTCACAATTGAAGAAGAATTTATAATTCTGATAAACTGATCGACACAGGATAACTGTAAGATTAAATACTTTTCTACAGCAGCCAGTGAGAGTGAGTTTTTATGGCTAGATTTTCTGGGCTTTTTAGGGGAAAAGTGAGGGATGATAGTGGATTGGATGAGTCTAAGGATAGGTAAAGGATGCACAATGGTTTGGTCATAGAGATGTAAAGAAAATGCAGAGTTGAAGGGTTCCTCATGGGGTGATGATTGATAACCAAGAAAGTATCTACTGGAAATGTTGGGCTTTTTTTTTTTATTTTGAACTGAAGGAGGACGTTGAAGAAAAAGTGAAGAAGCTAAGGAGAAGAGAGAATCACCTTTGCCAAAGATCGGTAAATTCGAAAAAGACAATATCATATCTTCACTGATAAATTCTCTATTTTCAGAGTCATGTTTCTATGTGTGCCACTGAGATTTCATTAGATTCCAGTATGCAACTTAAAATTTGGTGAAAGGAAATTGTTAAGCAATTCTCTAGACTAAGAGCATGCTATAGCACCTTTTAAGCTTAGCCAAACGTGCTATAAGACTCTCCTACAGTTTTTAGGACACCAAATAATATCAAATAAATCTGCATAACCTAATCAAACCCTGTGGACTAAAAATATTACCCACGTCCTTAGACCACGTCTCACTTTAATGCAGAAAAAAGGTTAAATGCAGATTATTCCTTAACTTAATACTACTACCTTCGTTAGGAACTGACATACTTGGTTTAATTCTGTGATTAAGCCCTTGTTTGGTTACTATTATTTTCAAAATACATTTCTCTCTCTCTCTCTTATTTTCAACCACAAATTTTTCAATAAAATAATATTACACGCAAATCTAAAACTTTTCCTTATTTTTAACCACACATTCTCCATCGAATCACTATTCTAAAATGCATTTTTGTCAGACAAATGGGTCTCAAACAGGCCCTAAAAGGTGTTTTTTCAACAGAATGTTGACTTTAATTTCCACCAGTAGTATTGAAAAATTATTTTGATAGTGCCAAAAAGCATATGGACATGCAGTGGGTTATTCTCCCTGGGATACTTTGATGCTTAATGAGTTATTGACAGTATAAAAATTTTGGAGACAACTGATGTGAGGAAACATTTAGGAGCGTATGTTTTGTGTTATTTTGAACGTTCCTGAAAGTCTTGTAGAATGTTTCATTTTTAGTACCCAAGGTCGTGTGATAGGGTTCCATTTGAAATTGACTTTGGTCCTGCAAACGGGTGGGGTAGATTTCATCGATTCCTTCTCAAAATTTCTTTTGAGTCTACATTAGGTTTTCTGATGATGAAATTTTAATCACATTTTTTAGAAAAAACTGTAGTAGGACAGTTCTGGTTATGTACAATAATCGGGAAAAAAATTCTAAAACCTTTTATAGTTTCTAACAATAGCCCTTTAATGCATAGGCTCTGCATTAAATATGGACTGCCATAATGATATGGTTAACTAATTTACTGAGATAGCTATTAAAATACTGGTCATTTATCTGGATGCCCTTTGCATCGGTGATTAATCAATGAAACATATATGTTCATCATATTGTTGATTACAATGTGGTATTTTATTAGATACGTGGCTTCATCTATAATTTCAATGACAAGCTAACTTTTGCAAGGTGCCTATAAAGAGCTCCTTATCATGATTGGAGTGCCTATAAAGAGCTCCTTATCATGATTGGAGGAAGTCAGATTTCTCTTTGCTTTCGTTCAAATTCTTAGTAGCAATTATATATTTATTAATCTATTTATTTCCTAATTATTTGTCTTTTGGATTAATGGGTTTTGAGGATCTTGTTTTTGCATTTCTGGACTTTTTTTTGTTAAGAGTTGTGAATCATTTTGAAATTTGAATCTTGGAAATGGGATTTGAGAAGGAATAATTTTTATAATTACATGTGATAAATTCTAGGATCCATCATTATGCTTTGAAAGCTTGATTTGATACCACTACATTTCACATTTTAACAGGACTTCATTAGCCAATATATAAAAAAGGTTCATTATCATATCTTGAATTATTAGGCTAAACATTGTATGCATTCGTGTAGTTATTATGATAATCGTTAGATTCAATATCTGATCCACTCGTTCTATGTTCTTCACCAAGAAAGTGTTTCTGGAAGGTTTTCATTCCGCTGTCCATAGAGGCATATATGAAGGCAGTAGGTCTCAATTACTCAAACAACAGGCAAGAAATCAAAGAAATGGATGGAGAATCTGCTTCTGATTACAACTAACTCTGCAAAAATAAATCGCTAAAGTTAGTGCAATGACTTAGTCTTTTCTTATTTGCAGCTTGATGGAGAATCGTGTTCAGTTAGTGCAACCCCTTGAACTTCAAAATTTTAGAAGGCAGTGAAGAGTAGAATGAAGCAGGACCTAAAAACAGCATTTGCTGTTTCCTCCTTACATTTTAGATTCAAAGAGCCGGCAGGTACAATAATGTTGACTTGTCTTGATCATGCGCAGGAGCTACATTGTGAAAGATGTCTCAAAAACCGAATAATTATGGATGCTTTACCCATTGGCCGTCTAGTTAATCTCAACTGCAAATATATTTTGGTTTTAGACGACTTTATCACCAACAGTAGACGATTTTATGCTGGACTTTTAGAAGTTGTATATTGTGAAGTTGTTTGAAACAATCACCGTACATCCTAACCTAATAAGCACTGCAGTTTCGGTGCTGCTTCCCCTTTCTCACTTTTCTATATATTGTTGAATATTCTGACATCGAGTTGGAGTTTTATAGCATCTGTCTCTCAATTAACGTGTGTATATTCTCACATTCTCAAATTGTAGATACAGAGATAAGAAATATTTTTTGTGTACATAATATGTCACATGGGGTGGGGCCCATAAATTTTTGGTGTACATAATATATGTATGGACCGCACCCCATGTGAGGGGTATGGACACCCCTATGTACATATAGAGCATGTTTGGGAGTGATTAAAATCCAATTAAAATTAAAAATATAGTCATTATTGGGTCTCACTCGTCAAATAAAAGTCAACAATAACGGCTAGTTTTTCAATTTTAATTCGATTTTAATTTCTACAGAACACGCCCATATTATATACACCAAGCACATCCCCATAGATAAACCTAGGATGCTATTGTGTCATCCCGGGCTGATGGATGACCAAAATGTGTTTTACTGATATCAATAGCAAGATAAATATATATTCTTTTACATATTTTCAAAAGCATGTCTGGGAAATGGTTTAAATTATAAACATATAGAAATTGGTAGTAGATAAGTTAGTACTTGTGGGTTCCTCGAAACGTATGGATAAAAAGTTGTCTGATTATTTATAAAATCGATGAGCCAAACAGAGGAGAGGCCTACACTCGTAAAAAAGTTTCCTTTTTTCGTTCATGGTTTAGGGACCATTGAGATCTCTTTATAATAGTGGACTATTACAGACAATTAACTTCGTATGGTGACATATATGAGATTAAAAATTCAAATAGTTGGGTTCTTTGCTTGTCCTCTCTATTCTCGGAAAGGAGGCAACTCGTTCATTCCCATTCTGTTTCTCCCTCTAAAAGGGGGGAAAAAAGAAGAAGAGTGAAAATCAAAAATTAAGGTCGAGCAATCAACACTGGGAGATTCTACCTTCAAATATCATGATTATGCAGTTATTTTCAATTTTTTTTAGCTTATTTAAATATGTTTAGGAGAAAGTAAAATTGTTACTTAATTTTCAATTTACCTAAACATTATCTCTAGGGGTTTGAAATCTGATTAGCTCCAAATAATTTTTTTTCAATATAAATTTACCCTTTTCAGTATGATAAGGTACAATGATAGAACATCGTCATACCTTGTCATGGTTCCAAATATTAGCAAAGCATCTCTAGAATTATTATCATAGTAAAAACGGTACAATAATAGAAGAGATTATTCATTGATTACTGATTACGTAAATAGAGAATGATCATGATTTATAATAACTATGTTTTGTCGAATAATGCCCAGTGTATAGGGCAATTTTTCATAGAGACCTTACAGACCCCTCACAAAGGGACGGGCCCCCACATGTATATAAAAAAATTTTAAAAAAAATTGACGCGGGTCCCACCTATGTCTTGCCGACAGGGACTTGTACTTCAAGCATTATTCATGTTTTGCCATCCGTTTTTTAGTGGGAAGCCTTTCAAACATCATAACCTTAAATAATTAATTTATACAAAATGAAAAGAATACCAATTGTGATATATATAATTCAATAAATTAAGGATGGTTGAGTCCGATTTGAGGACGAAGAAAAGACAAGCAACTTTATATGCATATTTTCAAAAAAGATTGACCTGAAAAATAAAAGTTGTTACGTAAAAAGTTTCTTAGTATATATTAGGATAATTATATTCGCACAACATATTTTATTTGTTACATCACATTTTTATTGTAATTAAAGTCTTCAAATTTATCACTTGTGTTTCCAATTTTTTTTTGTGACATTTTATTATCAAATTTTCATTAATTAATGTATGTCGTCTCTAATAATGTTTTCCATTTAAAAAAGGGTGATTATATTTACAACATATATTTTTTTTTATTCATTATCACACTTGTATTCTTAGCTTTTTTTAATTCATTATATTCTTATTTTTAACATTTCATTGATCATAAAATCTTGTCCTTAAATCATAATTTTCGTCAAAAAATATTATTAACGAAATATTTAATCGCATTTTTACAATATTGTTTGTTTCGCTTATTTAAAAATACAATGGTTAAATGAATCTTTTTACTCATCTTAAAGAAAATTTTGGAAAAAATCATAATTGAGAACAATTTATGTTAATTTAAAAAAAAAATGCGATGAAAAAAAAAAAAAGATATAAATGTGATAATGTGTAAATGTTATGAACATTCATGTAATTAAAATAAAATCTAGTTATTAAAAATTACGGCGTAAATATATTTAGCCTTTAAAAAATCTATTGAAAATGCGTAAAGTTTGTTCATCGTATTTCAAAAAACAAATAAATATAAAAATATCACAAAATATTTGAAAAAAGAATAATGCACTTGTACAATGTAGGGTTACAACCCCTCACAAAGAAGGTGGGGTCCACTATTATTTTAATCGTGGGGCCCACCTCTCTTTTGAAAGGTTGTAATCTAATGTTGTAATCTATGTATTGTACATATCAAAAATGCTACTTGTACATCATAAATTGTACATAAGGGGCTACACCCCTCTC